TCTATTTTTGGCATGCGTTTACAATTTATAGTCTCTAATGAAATAGGTTGAGGAGGGGAGAACTATTTGTCTCAAGTTGGTCATTCAGAATTATATCTGTGTTTTTTAATTTGTTGATTTCCATAGATTCTAACAAAGATAGCTTAGGGCCTTTATTTTGAATGTGAAGAATTTTAAATTTGTCATTAAAAAAATGATTATGATCTAGAAGGTGAAGTGCGTATGTCGAATCTGTTTTTCTACTATTGAAAGCTCTTTTATGTTCTGCTATTCGTTTATTAAAGTTCCTACCAGTTTGACCGATGTAAGTTTTTGCGCAGTCGCCACATTGAAGTTTGTACACACTACTATTTAAGTGTTTTTTTATTTTGGCTCTTGTTATTTTTAATATATTTGCCTAGGTTGTTATTTGTTCGGAAAGCTGGTGTTATTCCTTTCTTTTTTATGTGTTTGGCTACTTTTATTGTTATTTTGCCTGTATATGTAATCGAGCAGAAGGTAATGGATTTTTTCTCTGGTGGTGGAAATACTAATTTCAGGGCTTTCTTGTGCAGTTTTTGATTTAACATTTTATTAATTGTTTGTTCGTTGTCTTCGTTGTTTACTGCTATTTACTTAATTATATTTAAATATGTCTTAAAGTTGTATTTTGACATCGGTATTTTGACATTTGTACATTTATAGAATGTACAGTTTTTGGTTATGTGATTGAATCTTGTTTTTTTAGTCTTAAAAATAAAACACATATTAACTTCTTTAATTTCTATTCATGTTTTTTACCTTTACTTATTTTGTAATATAGGCAACCAGAGTCCTACGAGAAGGACATTATTTTTTATTTAAAAAATCAACAACCTACATTTGTCCTTTATGCATAACATTAATAAAATCAATATTTTAGGATTAAGATTATTTTAAACATTTTTTCAGACACTTTTTAAACTTCCTTCAGCAAGCCTGAAAGGTAAAAATATTAAATTTAGAAAAAAAAACATTACTGTAGGCAGGACGTTAAGAGAGCTGAAAGATATAGACGAAAATTTGGGCAATGCGAACTTCCAAGCGACAAGGTGATGGTTCTGCAGATGGAAAAATCGTTTACAAGTTTCCTACAAAAAAGTTGTTTATCTATAAAAAAAATGTATATTAAATTCAGCAAAAAAGATGTACACTCATCTTTCTTTGCAACTACTTTTCTTAAGTTCCATAAAATGACAAAATCCTATCTTTACATATGTAATCGGGTTTTTACCCACATATTTAATCTTGGTGGCTTCATTCATGTACTCCTAGACACTGATGATGGAACATGGTTTCCAAAAACGTTTTGTCATTTTAACTTAGCCCGTTTGGGCCTAAAATATACCTATTACAAAGGATTTTTAATTAAATTTTTAATACATGGTATACAGCCAACTACAGGAACGTAGATTCCTTGTGAAAATCCTATCTATCTGGAAGACCACTTCATTTAGTGGAAGAGTTTCTTGACGAATAACTAAGAAATTACAGTATGTTTATGTACAAGAAACTAAAGTATTTATATATTTATATATATATATATATATATATATATATATATATATATATATATATATATATATATATATATATATTATATGTATGTATGTATATATATAAATATATATATATATATATATATATATATATATATATATATATATATATATATATATATATATATATATATATATATACGTATTATTATTATCGAAAATTTTTATAAGCCCTCAACATTGTGTCTTTCATTTCTATTGAATTTTAAAAATGTAATTACAGCTGAACTTAATTTTGAGATAAAGCATTGTTTAACTTTTCGGGTCAAAAATCATTTAAAATATGAGGAACAAAATGAAAGCCAAATAAAAGCTCATGCCCATAAAAAGCCCCCTTGCACTCATTCATGCAGGTATGTAAAGGTTTCAAATCTTGTTGGTGGCATAAATTTTATTCGCGAAGAGATGTTTGTGCTCCAATGGTTATGAAAGAGTGTGGATATTGAAATCACCCTTTAATTCACTGACACAGGTAGGGAAGGAATAAAGAAATGCATGAAGTAGAATGTGAGCTTAATATTAAAGTTTGTGACCTCAAAAAAAAAATCGGAAGCTGGCGTGGTTAAATAAAAATAGAATTGATATAACAGCTATGTATTAAAATTATAAACCTATTAGATTAAGCAATAGATTGATTTCTTTTATGCTTCAACATTGTAATTTTTTCATTAAGGTTAAAAAAATGTTTTTTGCCAAATGTACATACATACTTTGTAAATAATTATGGTTATCTTTTCTGGTATATGTATCTATCTATCTATACGGCCCTTGCTGTCCAATTTTGGACTTAGGCCTCCTCATCCTTTTTCCACGTCTCTCTATAGTAGGCAGTTTGTATCCACTTCGGTCCTGCGTGTTTCTTCAAGTCATCTGACCATTTCATTTGTGGCCTATATATTAATATTAAATTAATTAAAAAATATATCTTCCTAATATATATTTTAAGTAATTTAACTTTTAAATAGGTAAAAGAAATAATAAATAAGACTTACTCACAATCAGTTCAATTTAACTATCTAGACGACCGGTTTCACTTTCTACAATATCTACAAGAATCTTCAGGGCTCGATACGATTTAAAGGCGGAATGAAATATTTATTAGAATAGGTAAATAAAAAGTTTTTTTTATATGCAATATTTTCAATTAAAAATTAAACTATAATTTCTCTTTTATTTACAACCCTGTTACATAACATATTAAAATAAAGATTGTAAAAGTTTTCAGGGACTTTCTGGCCTCAGTAATAATGTAATCTTTCATTCTACGTTTAAATTTTTCAAAAATATATATTAGTTTTCTCCGGATTCGAAAATAGTGGATACATTGAAACACATTGAAAATTTTGCCAGGCGATATTTGGCGCCTATCCCTTTAATTAAATAAATGTATCTTTTACAAATGGCAAGAAACTTTTTATTTTTGAATAAAATAAATAAGTTTTATTAAAACAAAAATACAATTTAAAAAATATATTTATTTTGTTCAAATAAATGTTTGAATCATATACTCTACGACACTGGTCGGTCATCTGTAACCAAAATACCTTCGTAATCGGATTATAAGGTTGACCGCTGTATTGTATTCCTGCAGATACAAGGTGAGTTAGTCGAAAACATCTTAAAACGTCAGTTTCAGGCTGGTTTTTACTATTATATCGTATTACCTATCCTCTCTTGCTTATGCTGACGACCTGGCCATTGGCTTCCAAGATAATAGTAAAGAAGCAGGAAAACGATCTCTAAACGAGGACTTATCTACACTAAGTAACTATTTTAAGAACTGGCGCTTACGTCCTAACACAAGCAAAACTGAAACCTGTCTCTTTCACCTGTAGAATCAAATTGCGGGAGATACTCTCAATGTAACTTTAAATGACACACATATCAAACATAACAACAACCCCAAATATCTTTACGTCACACTTGATAGAACACTCACCTTCAAAAGTCATCTTACAAGCGCAGCCGGTAAACTAAGAACACGAAATAACTTAATATCAAAACTTGCTGGAACAACTTGGGGTGCTTCTGCAGATACTCTTCGGACCTCTGCTCTAGCTTTGGTTTTTTTCAGTGGCAGAATATTGTGCACCAGTATGGCTAAATAGTGCACATACAAGCAAAATCGATGTCCAACTTAACCAAACCATGAGAATAATCACTGGAACAATAAAATCAACGCCAGTGAGATGGCTGCCTACTCTGAGCAATATTGCTCCACCAGATCTACACCGTACAGCAGCATTGGTGAGAGAGTACCACAAAAATTGTAGCCAACGTACAATTACCAATACATCAAGATATCCCAGACATCTCAAAAGAGCACCAACGATTGAGATCTAGAAATCCTCCAATACGATCTGCCCGAAAAATTGGTAATTCCTATGATATACATAGGCAATGGACAACAAGATGGATGCCAACAGTAGAATCGGACTATATTAAGACATCCACCCCAACTCAGGGTTTCATCGGATCAAATCTGCCCCGGTCCATTTCGGCAAGGTTTAATCGTATACGTACCGGACATGGTAAATGTTCTGATTCGCTGTTCAGGTGGGGTCGTGCAGTAAGTCCACAGTGCGATTGCGGAGAATCTAGACAGACCATAAGCCATTGTGTTTCAGACTGCTTGAATCGTGCCTACCGTGGAAACCTCCAGGACTTTGCGGAATGTTCCCCAGAAGCAATTGAATGGCTATGTAAATTGGACATTAATATTTAGTGTCATTTATTCTATTCATTCTATTTTTACTATTTTTAGTGTTTGAATAATATATATAATATATATGTGTATATTATTGTAATTGTATTTGTATATTTAATTTTATCGTACTGTGAAAGTTCATACGCTAAATAAATAAAAACCTATCCTCTCTGTATTTCAGTTCTCTAATTAGGATTAAACTTGTAGTGAGCTATCGACAAATTGTGAACCGAGCATAGAGCAGTGTGTTGCATCGATGATTATATGATATATTTTGTTAATCGTTTCATTATCAGGAGATTTCCAAGTTTCCTTATGTATATCTTTATGGGGAAATTGTGTCCCAGCTATTACCATGATCTTAGACATCGCAAAGTGTATGATTCTGAGACCGTTATCATTAGAGTCTACGTGTAGACTTTCTTTTCCGATGGTGGATGAACAATTTATGTCTTATTACTCCTATAAAAAATGTATTTATAAGTTTAGTAGTAATTATAATTCTGATTAAATGCTTTGATTGAGTTATTTTTAATAATAACTTTATCGATTAAAAAATATCCTTGTACACCACTGTCAGTGTTTTTTTTTATATATAGTGATGTAATGTATTTCAGTATAATTTAAATAATAGATCTATCACGTCCATTTTTAAATACGTTTTACACCTTCATACATTAACGAGAAGTTATTCTTATTGAACTATTAGTACGTAACACATCTCTTGAAATGCCTCCGAACGATCTCTTGATCACCGATCGAAATAAAATACGAAAGGTTTGGGAAAAAACCGAAAATGACGTTATTAAAGATATTCAAATTATAAAAGAATGGCTAAAAACACAAAAACATCTACCAGAGATTCCAAGTGAGTAAAAATTTTAAATTTAAACCTTTAGAATTAAAATCTGACATCTGTCAATCTGTGTAGTTTAATAATATTGTTTATAAAATAAAAAAATTACTTTTTTTTGAAAAAAGATTATAATTAGGTAATTAATATTAAAAAAATGTATTGAAAAAATATTTTTGCTTCTTGTATAGCTAGTTTTCAAAAGTTAGCAGTTTAACGTAAGTTCGTATCCATAAGAAATCAATTCCTACTATATTTTATTTCATTAATGCAAAACCTGTTCAATATTATTAAAATTTCTGTTTTTTTTTATATTTCAACTAATATTTAGTACCCATCTGTACATCATTTCCAAATTATTGGAGTTTTTTTCCTTGAATCTTATATTTTTTGTGTAAATATGAATGCCACATTATATTTTAATTTCCTTTATGATCGTGTTAGGTAATTTATTTGGAAGATATCGATTTTTCTGTTTTTGTCTGTAACCCAACCTGGATAAAAAAAAGTCAAAATTTTTTTCGCAGATATCCGAAGCTTTTAAGACATAGCTGAGGTTTACTAGATGACGAATAGATGAAATAGTACTCGTATTTTTACCTTGCGTTTCTTTTAAGCAATAATTTATATTCACAAATTGATTTTTTATCTGTAAGTTTTTTTGCTACATATTTTACATAAACAATATTTACATCATTTTTTTTATCAAAATATCTTTATTTTCCCGTGTTTTAAATTGAAATTTATAAATATTTTACGAAAATATTTGCAAAAAAGCATTGTTTGCGCTAATTTATAAGTTTTATTAATTTTTTTATTTACAAAATAAAATGTTACTAATACATTTGAACATCGAGGAGTTACTGTCTTTTAAATTTGTGCGAAATTTTTCGCCAATGAAATAAGTCATATAGGGCAGTTTTATAGCCCCAGTCAGGTATCATTATCATCGTCATCAGCTAGTTTTTAGTGCATTACCTAGGCTTCCCCCGTTTTTATCCAGATTCCACGGTTTTATGCAGTATGGGTTTGAGGTTTCGTCATCTTTCGCAGATGATCTTGCCATCGTGTAGATGGTCATCCTCTGTTTCATTTATCTGTTCTTGCTCCCCATTTGGTTATCTTCCCAAACTTCATCTCCATTTTAATCTGCAAGCTTCTTGTACATAATCTGTAAATCTGATTCTGTTTCGTCTTAGTTAGGTCTTAGTTTGTAATCTTGTCTTTTATTGTTACTCCTATCGTTAAAAGCCCAATCCTTCTTTGTGCTATTTTTAGTTTTAAAGCATAGTTTTTTGTAAGGAACAGTATACACATTAGGTCATTACTGGCATAACATACTAATCGAAGGCTTTGCGCTTTAGATTAATTGGTATATTACTGTCGTTAAATACATTTTAAAGATTTCCATATGCTGCATATCCATATTCTACATTTCTTGATTTACCTGTTTGATTGTCCTTACCTATTTTTATCCTTGGTATATGTATTTATTCATAAGTTGTACTTCGTCTTTTTTAATTTTTAGATTGTTACAGAGTACGAGGTTCTTAACTTATTTTGTTTTGGGTATACGTATTTTTACACCAATATCTTTGCAGGTTTTTTCCGGTTCTTCTAACATGATGTTGATTTCGCTCAGGTCGTCTCGTATTAAAACTATGTCATCAGCATAACTCAGGTGGAGCAGTCTTCCCCATCAACAATTATCCCTTTATGATCTCAATCAAGGGTTTTAAAACCACGTACTAGGGCAGTTATAAAAATCTTTGGTGATAGTGTATCACACTTCTTGGCGCCTATTTGAATTTCTATTTCGTTACTGTTTCCGTGTAACTTTATTAAGTTTCTCGCATTTCTACAAATATTGTATACTAATCTGGAATAACGACCATAAATATAATATATTTTAATGCTTCAATTGCACTATCTGGTTCTACTGGGTCAGACGCTTTATTTAAAATTATAAACACTAACAAAAAAAGTCTGTTGTATTCTATACATTTTTCAATGAATTATTCGCAGTTGGTCGTTGGTGCCAAACCTTTATTAAAATCCCGCTTGCGCTGTAGATTGGTACAGGTCTAGTTTGTTGTCCAATTTCGTTCTTGTCAAGAATTTAATTAAAAATTACTTAACAACTTAATGGGTCGATAATTTATTTAGTCAGTTTTATTCGCTATTTTGTAGCAAAATCGTGGCCTTACTCCATTAAGACCATATAAACTTTTCTGGTAAGCATAAATTAAAAAGTTCTCATATTTTGACAATTAGATTTTCGCCCTGGTTTTGAGGGATTCGATAATAAGTTCATGCTCTCCTGATGTTTTATGTAGCAGAAAGATTATTTGTCTAATGCCATCTGTCGCTCTCTCTTTCTCTCTCTGTCTCTCCACACACACATATTTTTTGGTAATTTATTGTCTTTAATCTTATCCAAGGCTTATCAGATAAGGTATCAGCAAGAATTATACAGTAGTACACGAGACACCTAAATAAAGGTAAAAAATAAATGAATTCAGATTCTTCTCCAGCACTACATCTCAAAGGCATAAATTTTTTTGGCGATCCAAGTCACTCCAAGTCCGCGAAGAGTTTAAGACTGTGCCCCATATAGAAATATTAAGAATACAAGGGCATTTATCAGTCTCATTTTTATATTTTGAGAGATCGATTTGTTTTTCCAAACTTTAGTTAGGCAACTCATCGCATTTTTTGCCATACCAATATATATCCCAATTTCTGCTTCACAGTTACCAATGTGGGATTTGTTGACCATTATTATTTTTGTCTTAGTTGTATTGATTCTTGGACCAACTTTGTTGCTTTCGTACTCAACTCTTCGCAGGAGATCAAACATTTCTTGCTTATTTGCTGCTATAAGTGTAGTGTCATAAACAAATCTTAAGTAAAGATTTTTTTACCAGCCGTTGTAACTCCACCGGCCCATCCATCTAAAGCCATCCTTATGACATGTTCACCATAAATGTTGAGTAAGTCAGGTGATAAGACACATCCTTGTCTAACACCTCTCTCGGTCTTGAATTAGTTTGAGAACTTCTGATCTAGTCGTACTGCTGCTATATTTAACTGGTACAGATTTTTAATAAGTTCACCAGGTGCATTGGTGTGCCCATTTCTATTAAAATGGACCACAGATTTATCCAGCTCCACAGTCAAGTGTCTTGTGGTGGTCAACGAAGCATATTAGCATAGGTACTTGAAATTCTCTAAACTTTTTAGTGAGTTGCTTCAGGTTCATGATTTGTTCCCGTGTATCTTTACCCTTTACAAACCCCGCCTGTTCCTGAGGTATTTTTTAATGTAGATAGGTGTTTAATTAGTTTTTGGTGATACTCAACAATATTTTACTAACATGTGCTATTACTGACACTATGTAGTGTTCATATCTGGTAGTAGTTCCTTTTTGGAGCGGGATAAAAATTGAGGTGCATTAATCAGATTGCCATTTTCCTGTAATCCTTTGTTACCTAGTAACTGTAGTATTTTACATGGTATTGTATTAATGCCTGATTATTTATTTTTCTTTAGCAGTTTGATTACATCTTTGACTTTAGAGAGTAACAAAGTAGGTTCTCTAGGGTAGTGAGAGGGTCATTGATTTTCTGCTGATACACCATTTCCAATAATTCGTTAGTATCAGTCTTTAGATAACCTTCCTTATTTATTACAAACCATGTTTGAGATTTAAATTTTCTGGTAAAAAGTTTGATCTTCTGAAATAAATCCTTTGGTTCATTTCTAGAGCCATGTTCCTCTATCTCTCTGCATATTTGGGAGATGTCATCAGCTTTGTCTTTGCGGCACTGATTTTTAATTTCTTTCGATAAAGATATTCATCGTTTGTTCCGTAACTAGTTTTATGTTCTTTTTTGAGTTGAATCACAGTCCACGTATTATCGGATATCCGCGGCTTAAAGCCCGTGGAAACCGCTGCCTCACAGGCTTTTTCATCCTTAATTCGGTTTAGTTGGAAGTCATTGATTTTTGATGGATTTAGATGACTTTTCTTTGGGGTCTGCTTTTGAAGACTTTTAAACAAAGTCGAACGTTTAATACCAGGAGTTAATGATCACCTCCATAGTCTCTGCCAGGATTTATACCACATCTAAAATTTGTACATCCTAAACCATATTATTATTTTGCACTCTCCTTTGTCATATGAATGATTTTGGTAAGATAGTTATTCAGTAATTATAAAATTTTTATTTTTCTATACTAACAGAGTAAGCAAACGTTGTGTCATGTAAATAGGTTAGGGTGTATCACTTAAAAGTTACTGTCTACCATATGATTTCATTAAGTTCTGTGCTAGAAGGTTTTAGATATATGTTTGGTCTATTTACAATCTTAATCTTAAATGATATAAAAACCGCCTACCTAATCAATGCTTTTAAGTTTTATTTATGATAATTATAACCTATCATGTACGTTTAGAGAACTAACATAATATAAATGATTTTAGCGGACAATATGATTGAATTTTTTCTCGTAAACTGCAAATTTAGTATCGAGAAAACAAAGCAGACCCTAGATATGTATTACACTGTCCCTAATCTTGTACCTGATTTGTATAAAAATATTAATCCTTGTACTTCAGACGTGGATGTTGCGTATGAAACTGCGTAAGTAAATATTTAATATTTTTTAGAAATTTAATTAGATATTTAAAAAATATAAGAGAAAAATAAAAAAAAAAATAAAAAAAAGCAAGTATTTTGGAATCTAAAAGTCAAAATGTTTTAAAATATATATCTATATATTTTATATCTGCAAAGAAGTTAGCAAAAGCTGCTATCGCTTTTTGTTGAATAAAATGGCCAAATATATGGTCTAAGAGGAAAAATTCGTTAAAGTTCCCGTGCTAAAATCGGTATCAATAAAGTGTTATAAATCATTTCGGCCTATTCTAGCCTCATAAGGCATTTGGGTTTATACAAATTTAAACTCGAAAACTCCAATGTATGTCTCCTAAAACTTCACCACTGCAGTGGATAGCGTACAGAGGTGTCACCTGCATGGCCGCCAAAGCAGGTAGCACCTCGTTTTTTTTAACACCGCACAAACACCTTTGCGGTGTGTGCATACTGCTGTCTGGTCACATATGGCTAATTATCAGTAATTTTCTGATCTAACTTAATAAACAGCAAATACTTAAATATAAGGGTTTACCCTATGGCTTACTCTTATTTTATCTATCAACTAATGCAACTAGTACAAAAAATATTCAAAGAATCTTTCTTGATATTTTTGCCATTTTCTTTCTATTTTCTTATCTCGTTTATTACATCCGGAAATTTATCTGTCTAAAATTGTTCATTCTTTGTAGATGTCCCCAACAACTTAGTTAACTTTTTTCTATGACAAATGAATGAATTGAAACGAAAGGTACTTTAAATAAATGTTAAGCATTTAATTCCTAGTTGAGCTCTTTCCGCTTACAAAGCCAGTTGTATAGCTATATATAGTCAGGTACTTTTTAAAATTTTATTATATCTCTGAAGAGGGCTTCGTAAGCTAAATCCGCTCAGTAAGGAAATAAATGCTAAACATTTCTTTAAAGTTTTAAAGTTTTTTAAAGTTTTTTAAAGTTTTAACTGATGCATGGACCAATAATTTCTCTCCCCTAGAAAGACCCCGTTACCAGCCAAAGTATAAGGACGTGGATTGTCAGTATGGACGCCTGAAAAATTTTTTTAAGCAATATATTGATGACCGCATATTGGAAACAATGGGTGTAGCAACAAATAGAACATACCTTGAAAGAAAAGGAACAGAGCTGAAATTGACAAGTAAAAAGTTAAAAACATTTATTGATATCACAATATTTTATTAGAGCTCCAAAAATTAGAATGTATTGGTCGAGAAAGTATGGTGTCATAATCGTCAAAAATGCTATGAGGCGAACCTGATTTTTTATAATTGAAAATCTCCAAAGATTGCTTTTGATGACGAAATCGATGACTAACAATGAGTTAACAAAATTTGGAAAGTCTTACATCTGTTCAACAGTATATTAAATAGTTGTCATGCTCAAATAAGATCTGATGATACAAGTATGCATGAAATGAAAATACCTTTCACCGGTCATTGCGGAATTCGTCAATAATGCCCAAGAAAACCAAATCCTATTGGTATTAGATTTTTGTACTTGCCAATTTCAACGGGTTAGTACGCGATATGATAGTATATCAGGGTTTTTCAACATTCTCAGAGCTTACAGCACAGAATTATGGCTTGGGTGAATCAGAAACTCGTAATTTGTGAGGAAGTCTTGTTCCTGGTAATCACATTTACTTCGATCGCTATTTTTTGACAATAAAACTTGCTGATATATTACTAGAAAGATGTTTCCATGCAACAGGCACGATTGTAAACAAGAGAGTCGCTAGAAATTGTATATTTTCTTCAGAAAAACAAAAACAGCCTAAGAACCCAGATCATTGCAGAAGATGGTCAAGACGTAAAAAGGACTACGAAATGGTTAATAGGCCTGAGGTGATTAAGAACTACAATCAGTTCACTGGTGGAGTTGACCTTGTTGACAGAATAATGGCAGTCTGTCCGGCACGAGCACGTACAAAAAAGTGGACAATTCGTTTCATCAGCCACATGATAGATTTATCAGTTTGCAACTCTTGGTGTTAGGAAAAACATGTACCAGCCAAAAACATTCTTCAACTGAGACTATTTAAATTAGAAATGGGAGAACAAATGATTTTGGACAACACTTAGTCTTCCGATTCTGACACCTCTAGCGACTGCGAAGACCTGAAGCCAAAACATAAAAAACGAAGAGTCAAAATCCAACCCATACTTGCAAACCTCTTGATAAGGCTGAACATTTAGTGGGCTATGCTAATAAACAAAATAGATGCAGAAAAGTTAATTGTAAAAATACTGCAACTGCATTTTGTATAGAATGTAAGATATTTTTATGTAGTACACGGAAACGAAATTTGTTTTTACAGTTTCATACCAAAGACTAAGTTATACTACATGATCTGTGTATAAAAATAATAAATAATAAAACATTGCTAGCATATGATTGTTTATTGTACTGTTTCTTTCGTATGTTTAATTTTATTTTGGTAACAGATAGACCCAATGTCATATATATATATATATATATACATATACATATATATATATATATATATATATATATATATATATATATATATATATATATATATATATGACATTGAGAAAAGCCATATTTTTCATTGCATATTCTTTTCTCATTTTTTTCTCTAAGTAGCAATCAAATAAAAGGGTAAAAACCCAAAATAGTTTGAAAATAATTTAAAAAATACTTTGGGTCTCAGGAGTTTATGTTAGTTCCAGTTTTGGATTTATTTTTTTTTATTTATATAAACTTTTCTATAAATCCATATGTACTAACACGGTTAATTTGGTAAAATTTGAATTCAGTCAGTTGCCAAAAATAAAACTCTTTACTTTTTCTAACAACATATCTTCTTCTTCTTCTTACGGTGCCTTATCCTTAAGGAGGTTGGCCATTACATTTGCCCATTTAATTTTATTTGTAGCAGCCCTGAATAGTTCTATAGAGGTCATGTTCGTCCATTGCCGTAGGTTTTTAAGCCAAGAGTTGCGTCTTCTTCCTGGTCCTCTTTTGCTATTGACTTTGCCTTCGATTATAAGTTGGAGCAGTTTATACTTTTGATTTCTTATGATGTGACCAAAATATTGTGTTTTCCGTTCTTTTATTGTAAGCATAAGCTCTCTTTCCTTATTCATCCTCCGCAAGACTTCCGCATTTGTCTTATGGCTTATGTAGGATATTCTGAGCATTTTACGGTAACACCAGAGTTCAAATGCTTGGATTCTTTTTTGTGTTGCTTCTGTCATTGTCCAGGCTTCAACACCATAGAGCAAAGTGGAGTAAACATAGCACTTAAGTATTCTAGTTCTCAATGAGATGCCCAGCTGGCGGTTGCATAGAACTTTTTGCATTTTGTAAAACATTGTACGTGCCTTTTCCAGGCGTATTCTTATCTCTAGTAAGTGGTCCCAAGTTTCATCAAGATTACTTCCAAAGTACGTTGTTCTTGTTACTCTTTCCAGATCTGTTCCGTCGACATTGACCTTCACCCTTTTGTTTTGGTGCTTGCTGATGACCATCGTTTTTGTCTTCTTTGTATTCAATTTCATTCCAAATTCTCTACAGGCTGTCGTTACTCGGTACATTAAGCGTTGAAGGGCTTTAGCATTATTTGCCAGCATGACAGTGTCATCATCATATCGCAGGTTATTTATACATTACCCGTTTATAATTATACCATCCGAGGTGCCTTCTAAAGCTTTATGAAATATCTTCTCAGAGTAAACATTGAACAGCAAAGGTGATATGACTCATCCCTGTCTTACTTCCTTCTCGATATTGATTTTTCCAGATGTTTCGCTTTTTATTCTGATTTTAGCCTTTTGTTCTTGGTAGAGGTTTGAAATGATCCTTAAGTCTTTATCGTCGATATTACATGACCTTAAAATATCTATTAGTTTATCATGTTTCACCAGGTCAAACGCCTTCTGAAAGTCTATAAAACACAAGTATACATCAGAGTCGACATCTCTACATCTTTCAACTAGCACACGTATTGAAAAAAGTGCTTCTCTTGTTCCGAACCCATTCTTAAAACCAAACTGAGTTTGACCAGTGTGTTGGTCTAGTTTATTGTATACTCTATTGTGTATTACTCGTAGGAAAAGTTTTAATATATGATTCATCAGGCTAATAATCCTACGGTCTTCACATTTCTTGGAGTTTTTCTTCTTTGGTAGTGGTACAAACAGCGATGTCAGCCAATCATTTGGTATTATGCCTGTTTCGTATATTTTGTTAAATATATCTTCAATTACTTCGATGTGTTCGTCTAGTAATATCTTTATTATTTCAATTGGGATATTATCTTCCCCAACAGCTTTTCCGTTATTTATCTGATTTGCCGCTTTAATAATTTCTTGCTTTGTGATATAACGTCCAGTCGATGCCTCCTGCATGTAAATGATCGTCCTCTCTTGGTCTTGAAACATCTCTTCCACGTATTCTCTCCATCTACCTATTTGATCTTCTATGTTCAGTAGCCGGTTCCCATGTTTATCTTCGATGAAAGACGTAGAGGTTTGTTTAAATATTCCAGCGGCTTCTTTTACTTTTTTATGTAGATTGAAAGTATCATGTCTTTGTTCCAACTCCAACAACATAACAATTCTAACAATTTTAAGAAATTCAATGTCAACGACAAAAAAGGTCAGCAGGTAATGATGTTATCTCAATAGGCATCATTAGCATAATATCAAGTTAATATTGTAATAAATAATTTTTTAGCAAATGATTTAAAGATTAATATTAATAATTGTTACGTTTTTTGTACGTATTTTATAATTTGCAGATTATTTAAGTAAAAAAAAAAAGAAACAAAAAAAGCCACAGCAGAATAACTAAGCTAATGGTATTCATTGGCAGTTTTTCGGTTTATGTTACTTTATAGATGGAATGGTTTATGTTACATTCGAGAATTAGATAACTTTATTATTTAATTGAAGAAGAAATCTTCACATCTTATTAAAAAAGACAAAACTTATGATCATGAATCAT